CTGTGTTAGGCGGCAGAGGAACCAACCCCCATGGCAGGTTGCCAGGAATGGATAAAACAAGGAAAAGTCCTTACCATCTGCTTTTTATTCAATATTTACAGAGAGAGGCTTAAGAATGCAGCCTCTTGGAATAAGGGTGTTGTCCCGAGTAAATCTCCACCCCCTTTTCTTCCACTTCCTCATTCGTCAACAGCACACACACCCCTTACGGTTGCTGCTTAGGTCCATCTGTCTTTGAGCTCTTTGCCCTCTACTTTTCAAGCTCACCGGGTTCTGGGAGATGGTGGGTCTGGAATGCTTTCTAGTGATAACGTGTCAACCAGCTGTTCTGGCTCTGCCTCCTCTCCCATTATTTCCCGACTTTCCCCCTCATCTTCCTCTGAGCTATGACCTCCCTCAAACCTCTCTTGTAATTCTGAACTGTCTTCTTCTCTGGAAGGGTCAGGCTGGGGAGGCGGTCTCCACCATTCCTTCTCTGCCCAGTCCCTGACAAACTGTGGTAGTTCTTTTTGGATATATATCCCCATCATGAAAACTGTTTCTGCCCTTTGTACCAAGCGAGTAGCAAACTTGTTTACAAAATGAAGATTCAGGCAAGGTTGTCTTAGGGTGGTTACTCGCAGGGCACTAGAAATTATGGTGGCAACTCCCCACCGGGGTCATCTGAAAACAAAGGAAGCACTTATCTCCCTTCAATAGTATTGTTTTTAACCTATTATTTTTATTTATTTATTTATTTATTTATTACCCACCCATATGCAAATTTAAGCTATAATCATCTAAAATAATTAATCAAATAAAGTTCCTTTAATCAACCAAATCCAGATAACTTTATTGTACGAGCCATTGGCCATGTCAAATCTGAATCAAAAATAAATACAAGCAAAAGGGGTGTCGCACCACAAATAATGGTCTTTATTTAGATCTCTGTGTCTCCTTTACAGTTCACTGCTATATTGTCCAGGGTCTTCTTTCTGTTCTGAGAAAGAAAGCCAGGTAGCAACAGCACATCCAGCTGTTTTCCAGGGCGAGCTTTGCACAGTGGAGAACAGCAAGGTGGCAACCATAGTTACCCCACTTGAACCCAGACAATTTGACCTTTATCAATCAAATTAGGTAACTAAGCCCACACACCCAAATTGACAACAAGCCAACAGCCTGAGAAACCCCTTGAGACCCTGCACAATGCCAATGATCAAAACATGCAGAAAGATCCTTTAATCAAGTTTCAGCCCTAACCAAAATATATGTATAGATGAAAGCACAGTAAAAATAATGTTTTTTATAATTATCTACCAACATTTACATGTTTGAGTTTTTTAAACTGCAGGAATAGTGGGATCTAAACAGTTGTGTTTGATAAAATCACACATGTCCAGTTCATATTTTGAATCACATATACTTCCAGTGACACACATATAACTTCCAGACATTTTTTTTCAAAAATGTGGGCAGATCTCATTACAGTGCTCCATAATATATCCTATTGGGTAATTTACTTTGCTCTTTTATTTGGCCTTGGAGATCACATTGATTCATTAATTCCTGGTACATATCTGCTTTTACAACTTTGTTTTGCTCTCCCATATTTTTGGATCTGACTGGATGTAGTTTTCCCCTGATCTGGGTCACTATGGACTAAGCATGTTTGTGTCCCATTTATGGTGTTTTATCTGTCTCCATGCCAGCAGGAAGGTTTCCTCAAATATCTGTTTTCTGTCTCAGTGAGTATTAGCGATGGCAGTAGTCCAAAGGTAAGTGTCCAAATTATATCAGATACTACCAATGGGATAATTGGAAATAACTTCCTTTGAAATAATGAAACTTTCTGGACTTCAATAACAATAGGTTGTCATATTCTGAGTCCTAGGTCCATGTATACTAGGTCCATGTATACTATATACATTTCAAGCATTATCATTTTAAGCAAACATGGCTTCCCCCACCCCCTTAGTTTGTTAAGACTCCTAAGAGTTGTAAAAAGATCCCTATTCTCCTTGCAAAGCTACAATACTCAGAATGGTTTAACCATCTCTCCCCAGGCAACTCAGGGTATTATAGCTCTGTGAGGAGAACAGGATTCTCCCAAGGGCGCTCTCTCATACTCTTCAACTGCCTTGAAAACTTGGGACATCCCATCCCTGTCCCTGTACGGCAGCCATTTTAGGTGCCTTGCTCTTGTGCGATTTCAGACCAAGGTCTCGCCCTGAAAAAAAATGGTTATTTTCGGGTCTGCAATTTTGCACGGTGCTCCAAATCACATGTTTGGAGGCACCGTGCTCCCAATCTCATGTGGGTCACATGACTCACACGGGATTTTGTCCCAGATTTGGGTTGTGTCATGGTGGAGGGAATGCTCTCTATAGCCTGAACAAACTATAGCTCCCAGGATTGTTTGGGAGAAGCTATGACTGTTTAAACTGGTAATATGATGCTTGAAATGTATAGTGCAAATGAGGCCCATCTCTCTCCTCCACCCTCCTGCCCCCAAGCACCTCACCTTTATCACAGTCCAACTTTGGGTTCCTGCTACAGGTAGGTAGCCGTGTTGGTCTACCGTAGTCGAAGTATCTGAAGAAGTGTGCATGCACACGAAAGCTCGTACTAATAACAAACTTAGTTGCTCTCTAAGGTGCTACTGGAAGGAATTTTTTTATTTTGTTTGGAATTCCTGTTCCTGAGGGATTCTCAGATACATCACCCTCTCTTGTTATCTGGGGAAGGAGGGAGCAGTTTTCTAAGTTCTGATGGCCCTCTTACTCAAATACTTGGAGAGACGTCGAGGCATTAAGAGACTATTTCCTAATAATTAGTTTCTACAGAGAAAACATTAACCAACAGTTCTGGACCATTAATGAAACAGAAGAATAGTCAGTCAGAAGTTGTAACAACATTAATGCAATAATAATACAATGAGCATTTTCATTCATTCTTTTTAAGGAAAACATTTCCCCTGGATTATGGGATAGTTAATTCGAAATATCTGTGGTAATACAGTGTGGTTTGAGAGGTTGAGTATAATCCAATATAATAATAATGTCCAGATTACTGTAAATGGTTTCTAGAGGCAGTAGCTATGTTAGTTTGTTGCAGCAAAAACAACAAAAAGCTGGAATGATTCTTAAAGACTAACACATTGCTTCAGAAGTTGTAGTGGCATAGAATGGAGCCAGCCCAGTTGTCAACTGGAAAGGACCATCAACAGAATACAAGATCTTTGCAGAAAAATCTGCACTAGTTTTTTTGTTAGTATACACAGGTAGCTTGTGTGCGGGACCGTTTTCCACAGCATATCCCTGACCAACCCCTGCAATCGTCGAGAGAAGCACTTTTATTTTCAGTAAATGTTGTCTGCTGCATGAATACTAGGAGCAGAGGATTTAGTGTGGTAGTGCCAATAATGTGGAACACCTTACATCAAACAAGCACCATCAATTTTGAGGGTTGTTTCACATGTCATACTAAGCCAAATCATGGCTTCACATGAGCGTGCAAGCATTTGGGATACTCAAGAAGTAATGCGGCTGCGTTGTTCTGCTGCTGAACTGCACTGAGCCATGGATCCAAACCTGGGCTTGTGGTTTAGCTCTATTTAGATTAACCACGGGATGTAACCAAGGTTTGCCCTATGGTTTATGGCGCGTAGGTTGTCCAGGACTGCTAAACCACAAGCCTGGTTTCAGACTGACATGTCAATCTCTTCTGCTGGAACAAACACACTCATGCATTCATGCTAAACCATGGTTTAGAATAGCATAGCATGTCAACTAGGTCTAAGTTGCATATAGTTGCTAAATATGTAGTTAATCACTCAAGCCTTCTCTGGAATGTGACCCAGCCATGTGTTATCTGTTCTGTCCTTGACCAATTGACTAGTTTATTCTTTGTATTGAATTTATATTGTTCAAGGAGAATTTTATGTTGCTCACCTCTTAGAATTTTTTTTAACATAGATATAATTATTATTGGCATATGCTTGCATAGACTAGAGGTTATGATGAGTGGGTCTCAAACTTTCCCTCCCTCAGATCATTTAAAAATTCCTGACCTGAAGGTTTTGGCAGACCACTGAATTTTGTAGAATCCAGACTGCAATACAACAAAGGACGCAATGCAAATACAATAGAAGACCAATGTGGATATTTTATGGTGATAGAGATGCCATTTCCCATCTTCAACCACAGATCTACAGACATGCTACAGGCCAGCTGAATGAAAACCACAACTGGGGAACCCCTGCTCTAGATAATTGTCTCAGGCCCACAAATGTTTATTCAAGAGGCAGCTAATGTGTGCCCTGGAGATGTTGTTGAACTTCAACACCTATAAGCCCAATGCTCATGAATGCTACGAGTCGTAGTCCAACAACATCTGGAGAGCATCATGTTAGCTCCTCCTGGTATATGCCATAATAAATTTGCTAGTCTGTATGGTGTCAATATAAGATTATTGGCTATTTCTGCGGATTGGATTAGGAACTTGACATGATTATATCTGTATACCGGTACTTATTGTATTTTCTTGTATAATGTGAGGAGTGCAGGACATAGCTAAGTAGTTGAGCTGAATAAGCATTTGGGGCAGAAACACCTCCTCTTTCTATGAGCTCTTCCTCTGAAACAGATGCTCCTTCCATGAACAAAGTACATGAAAACTTTAGTCCAGGCATGTCCAACAGGTAGATCTACTGGTAGATCACTGGTAGACCACTGGCTCCCCCCAAAGAAGCTGAACAACTGTGGTGCCCCTAAAAAAAGCTCAACATTTTACCTCCTCCCTGAAAAAATTCAACAAATTTGACCCGAACCCCCCCCCCCATGGGTCTTCCTCCTTCCTAAAAAAAGCTCAACAACCTTGACCTGAACCTGAAAAAAGCGGGTATAGATTGCAGCCTCTTGGGAGTTGGCCACCCCTGTAATAGTCTATCTAGCTGAGTATTGTCCACAACTGACTGGCAGTTGCTCTCTAGAGCTTCAAGCAGGGGCTGCACCAGCCCAACCTGGAGATGCCAGGGATTGAATCTGGGATCTTCTGCATGCAAAACAGATGCTCTTCCATTGAGCGATGGCTCTTCCCTAAATGTCAGGATCCATGGTTATATATTCAAAGAGCTCTTTGTCAATGCCAATGCCATGAATATGAATCCTTCCGCACGCAAATATGTGCTGACAGGTCCTGTGGCACAGTAACATCATGAAATTTTGTCTGGTCCTCTGTATAGCTGAGAACCATTTCTGGGGGGGAATGAGCCAGGCACCCTCCTATTCAAACAATGGAACTGCAGACTCTGTAGACAATCAGCACTGAAGCTTCCCCTGTCGCATGGGTGTCTTCCCCCCCGCTTGCCTCTCTTCCTTATTTTAACAATCCAGTCAGAAAGCACACCAGATCCACACCAGAGGGCATCAACTTACTTCACCTCATCCATTTGATTTCTTATTGATGACAGCAGGAGGCCTGACATTTGCCAGTAGATAGAAAACCTAGGAAAGAATAACTGCTTAGTGAGAATTCTACAAGCCTCAACAAAGCAATTTGGAAAATGATCATGTGACTGTGTGTGTATGGGTGTGCATGCCTGCTTGAATTACAATGTCTCACTTTTATTCACACACACACACACACACAATCACATTTTAGAGAACTGTCTGGAATGGGGCTATAGATTTCCTGCTTTGTCAGTCCGCACTAAACCTCAGAGGAGGCAATTCTTACTTTCTCTTCACACCATCACCTGCAGCTAATTGTGCTCTGGAAAGAAACTGTCTGCTGAGCTTAAAAAACATTCCGCATAGGAAGCAGATCAGCTTGTTCCCACTCAAAACCATTTGTTATGTCCCACAAATGTTCTGTCTTCTGTATGCTTCATAATGAAAAGGATTTGCAGATCTCATATAATTATGTCCATTAGTTTTGTGGCATTAGCTAGCGTAAAAGCCTATTCAAATTTGTTCCTGCGGTCTGCATGTTAGGAAAAGGAGACAATGTTCACAATATACCACAAAACTGTCTTTTGAACAGTGTTGTCACCAGCCAAGCTATGGCAGCTGTAGGAAGCACCAGATTTTTCTTCAAGGGTTTTTTTTTGGGGGGGTGCTAGTGTTCCCTCACCTCCAAACTCTGTTTGGGAGGATCTCCTGCTTTTTTAAAAGACAAAAACTGACCAGGAGCAACAGCTTTCAATATTTACTGGGATCAGCTAAAATCTATGTAGGCCATATTGTGTGTTGGACGGGAGTGAGAAAATGCAAAGAAACTGTTTACATTTGTGTAATACAGTGGTACCTCGGCTTAAGTACTTAATTCCGGAGGTCCGTTCTTAACCTGAAACTGTTCTTAACCTGAAGCACCACTTTAGCTAATGGGGCCTCCTGCTGCCGCCGTGCCACCGGAGCACGATTTCTGTTCTCATCCTGAAGCAAAGCTATTAACCTGAAGCACTATTTCTGGGTTAGTGGAGTCTGTAACCTGAAGCGTATGTAACCTGAAGCGTATATAACCCGAGGTACCACTGTATTTTAATCAACCTTAACAAACGTATGGCAATAATAAAATAATAACTGCTTTTCTAATGGATTTTAGAAGGATTAGACAAATTTACAGAGGGTATACCTTCCCTGTACATCACTTTCACAAAGAAGTATCTTAATAGGGAGTAACAGAGCGCAGTTTTCCCCCTTCCTCCTCAGCATGTGAGCATAAACACTTGGCAAGCCAGAGCATTAGAAGGAATAGGAAGTTTGGCTGCACTGCCCATACCAAACGGAAGGGGCAGGGTAGATTGAGACAGCGCCAGTATCAGGTGTAAGCATCCTTGCTCTCTTGTAAAGGCCCACTCCCCTGCAGGCAACCCACTGTCGTTTTCTGGAAACTTCTTTCTGTCCTCCACGCAAGCAGTGACCAGAATGAGGAAACGGAGCTCCCTTCTCCCTCTCTATCTCAGAAGCTGTATGGATTGGGAGGGGGCAAGTTGGGGGGGCACTGATGGCACCTTCCGATAGCTGCGTGAAGGATATGGGGTGTGCATGCAGACCTGTCTTTCCCTAGAATGGCCTGATATAGTTCTTGCACATGCTTCTGTATGCACACATGGAGGAAACAAATTGAGTTTGGTTCCTCTCAGGATCCCTCCATGTGCAGGAACCGGGCCTGTATGAATACAATCCTCATGGGATTTTATCCTATGGTGTTACTCAATTGATGGTAAGTCTGGGAAGTGACTTGCGGGATTTTGTCCCTCCCCCTGCATCTCCCCTCCCTGTGCCTGCACTGTAGAGTCCCCCAAACCCTTGGAGCAGATAAAGAGGGCAGAGGCTGTAATAGGTTTGGTTTCAACATATGGAGACATTAGTTAACATGGTGGCTTTCCCAATGTCTCTAGTAAGGAAATGTCATCACAACATTGCAATCACTACAGAGGCTGCAGGGAGAATTGCCCAAAAAGGCTTCTCTCCAGTGATGGAAACTTTGCCGTCAGTTGAATGACACTATTGGATGCAACCCCATGGTGTATCAATAGATGGTTATTAGATCATGGCTGAATGGCATTTACTTTTTCAAAACTTTGCATGCTGTTTCTCCACACAGCGATGTTTCCTGTATTTGAAAAGAATATTGGCTTCAGAAAGCAAAAAGACACTTGAGACTCACAACAGAAGCTCTAGAGTAAATTAGGCAAAACAAGTGAATACTGAATAGATTAATACCCATTGACTCTGAAGAAAACACACAGACAGATAATACATTTTTTTGGGAGGCTTCATTTGGCTGAACAGCTGCCTGAGGGACATTCCATGACTGTGCAAAACAATGACAAAATTTGAAAGATGGTAGATGAAGTAAAGTCTGCATCATATTCTCCTGCCTTGTCTTTTATTAACTAGACTGAATTTAAGCCTTGAGATATGTAAAGCTGAGCCCCCCAGAGGAAACATGACTCAAATGGCACTGCCTATGAATCACAATTCACGGCTAAGTAATCCTTATGCTGGAACAAGCAGGAGATTACATGTTTCCTTTGCTGTCTCACTTTTTCTTAGGGCGTACCTCAAGACTCCACCTATTTATCATTTCCCCTCACTCCTCCTTGTGACATGCTCCCAAAATAACTGCGATCAACTCCTTTTCATTCCTTGAGCCATTATTATTATTTATTAAATTTCTTTGCTGCCCATCGTCTGAGGATCACTGGGCAATTTACAATATAAAAGCACAAATATTTATATCACAGTAGCAAAGATACACCCCCTCCCCCATGCACACACACAGTTTTAAAGGCCGCAGATTGTTCAATTAGCCAAAGGCCTAGGAGAAGAGGAATGTTTTTGCCTGGCACCCACAGATATGTAATGAAGATCTGTTTGCTAAACTGCAGTGTAAATAAAACAAGCGAAAAGGCTTTTAGCAAGTTGCCAATCAATAAGACAACTTTTGCTCTTACTGATGAAGAGTTTTATTTAAAAAGCTTATGAAAATGCAAATATACGGTATCTATCAAGATATATGAGCTTCTCAACAGGTGAGCTTTTTGCAGAAGCCATGCAGAGACATCCTCAGCAAGACTTCTTCTTCTGTATGCTGAGAGAACATCTATAAGAAAAAGGGTGGTGGGTTCTTGGGTACATGCAATTCAGGTTGTGGGTTCCAAAATACCTGTGTTGATTGACAACTGTCCTAACTTTCGGTAAAGAAGCATATGAGCGATGGTTGCGCTATTTAGGTAATCACAGGAGTCCTGGACATGCAAATTTCTCTGGCGGAAGTGTTGATGAGCATGGGGGATGTTTATCATCTTGTATTAGCAAACCTAGTTAAAAAACACACTACCACCTGTGTATTGCAATTCATATAGCATTAGCAATGAAGCCACACCCTTTGGTTCTCTTTTTTATCTGCTTCCTGAAATTTCAGCCCCCTTCACACCAAGAGATCTCAGCAACTCTTATCCCTCACTCAGCTCTGTGATGCTGCAGCTTCCCAGGTTTCCTTTTTCTTCACAGCTACTGCACAGATTGAATTTTGCATAGAATTTAGCTATTAGAGCGTTTATGTACATTTCATGACATCAGAATGGGGCTGCCAAGTGGAGCAGGAAGGTTATTCACAATTTATAGGTTGTCATTTTTAGTCTCTTTTATAAGCAAAAAATAAAATGTGACATGGCGTAATGGATTTATGTTGTCTCGGGGGTGGGGGTGGCATTTTCCCCCAAACCATGCTACGCTCCCCAACCCCGTCCCAAAGAACCTTTCTGAAGATAAGTGGAAAGCTCAAATAAACTTGCCTGAAGCTTTTTATTGCACAAGGAGCAGTGCCCCCTTTTGAAAACAGAAAATCTCCCTTTCAAGGGTCCTGTGGGCAGAGAACTTGCTTCTGATGTGAACAGAAGGAAAGAAAATTTCCTTTGCTTCCTTTGAAGAGGCAGTTCATCACTGTCTCCCCTGACAAGTAGTCATGATGCTTTGCGCTGAAGTTGATCCTTAGCTCCATGGGAGGTGCCCAGTGGATATTTTACCACAGAATAAAGGCATCTTTACTAGCAAAGCAACTCAAAAGTGTGGAATTTACTGTCCCCTGGAGACTATAATTCTGAAAATGACTTCAGTACGCTATCCTTGGGCTTGGTTAATTGAAGCTGAGACCAGATTGCATAGTGATTATTTGTAGTTTCCTGTGCACATTTCATCCGTAAAACCTTTGGCTGAAAAAGCTATAGAATCCAACACTGTGCTGTGCTGTGCTGTGCACATATTGAACAAATCCACTACATTCTAAGTATGTAGCTCCAAAATAACTGATTATGAGTTGTTAATAATAATAATCCTGTAAAAAATTCCATACAGCAAATTTGCCTGAATGTTGATATTGTTGATATTTTATTATCTTAATTTTTCTTTTTGATTTGCCAAGAGCCCCGTCGGCCCAAATATATGCCCGGGGAGCAGACCTGAGTGGAGCCTGCCAAGTCCAGGTCTGCTCCCCAGGCCCTGCCTCCCAGGCCGCCACCGATAGGCTTAATTCAAACAGAGGGCTGGCAGTGTTCACGGTGCTCTGCGGTGGCTGGAGAGGA